TTATTTTCAACTTGAGGATGCTCTCGATGAAAAGCCTAAAACAAAGTAATATGCATGCTTAACCTAACAAAGATATTGCACCGCATAGTTTTATATACACAATGTATATCATACGTATATATATATATATATATATATATATATATATATATATATATATATAATAAATATCTATATATATATATAGAGAGAGAGAGAGAGAGAGCTCTCACTTTAGAAAGAATCCTTGGATGATTATAAAATAAAATAAACACTATATCAATTGAGTTTTCGAGATGCAGAAGTGTTTGATTATATATTACGATAAATTAATTTAAAAATACATTTCAACGCATGATTAAAAATACATTTCAAATAAAATCATACCTAATAATTTTTGTAATATATTTTGATAGTATTTTACGTTTAAAATTTTAACTTTGTCAAGTATATTAGTTGAACTCAACAATTTTGATCACATTTACTAAATTTTGCTTTTTTTGTCCATATATATATAGATGGGCTTGATTCGAGTTGATTGGAATCCTGAATCAAGTAGGCACATCACTAGGCACATATATACACATATATACATATTCAATAGATAAGTCCTTTTCAATATATTAATTGTTTCTTTTCCGAACAGTAAATCCAATAATAAAAAACCATTTGCTTTTGAAGATGTTTAATAATGACGTTTCGGAACTAGATACGTTCCAACATCAGGTTTATTCTGTCAAAGACAATGTTTTTTTTTAAAAAACTATTGACTAACATTAATTAATTATGGTTATTACAGATTATTTAGAAAAATTATAAAGAAAAAAGGTTTAATATAAAATTGAGAACCAAAAATTATTTACCTTTAATAATTTCTATATCACTAATATTTTTATTATAAACACTTTGACTTCACGAGACTTTGTAATACACTGTGATGAAGTTCTGTCGGCCAGATGTAAGGAATATATACGGACTTAGGCAAAAATAACTTTTTATGTCTCTTGTATTGGTAATTTACGAAAAATGGGAATGTATTGCCTTAGCAAATGCTGAGATTATGTATAATATTATGTATGTATGTATGTATGTATGTATGTATGTATGTATTATGTATAAAATTATGTATATATGTATGTATGAATATTATTATGTATATATACATGCACATACATATACACACCTACATACAAATACATACATATGCATATATCCATATATTCATGTACATACAATTATATATACGAACATATACGCAAGTACATGTATATAGTGTATATACAAAAACATACATATAAGCACATATATGGATGTGCGTATATTACTACATATATATACACACAAAATTATTAAATCATTAATCGTTTTTAATTAGGTTTAAAAAATTTAGATATGAATCATGAATGATATTATGATCTGATCTTTTATTAACACAATTTGACGAATTCAAAAAGATTAAACTGCTTTCAGAAAAAAGTCTTTGAGATTGAATAAACTATGTTAGTATTAAATTTAGGAGGGGTGGTGGATTTAATTTTTGAAAACATTTCTTTAAAAGAATATAAAGCTGTTCCTGAAATAAAAATATTTTTTTCTTTGAGTAATTTGGCAAAATAATCAAATAAGCCTTCAATGTAAGGCATGCTGTGAAAAGTAGGTTTGCAGGACAGCAATATTAAACTTACTTTTCACAGCATGCCTTACATTGAAGGCTTATTTGGTTATTAAACATCTTCAAAAAAACAAAGTGTTTTTTATTATTGGATTTACTGTTCGGAAAAGAAACAATCAATATATATACATATATACAAATATAAACATATATATATATATATATATATAATATATATATATATATTAGTGTCACAGCGGTCGTCCGCGATGAATGCCTAAAATACTAAACCGATTTAAAATTTGTTTTGCTCACCGTGTGCATATAGATCCCATTTAAGACATAGGGTATATTAAAAGTTTCAATTTATAGCCGAAATATTATATTTTTGGTAATTTGAATATTTGACCAGTGAATCGTAGAATCAGTTTGATCTTATCTAGACCACCATCGACTTACGAACAATTCGAGCGACCCTGTTCTGAGTCGTACGCCATAGATAAAAGAAAAGTATATATATATATATATATATATATATATATATATATATATATATATATATATGCATATAAGGCGTACGCAATAGAATTTGTTTATATTGTAAATTTGAATGCATCGGTTTATACCGCGTTTCTATGTGAGTCCACTCGAAGATTATATATTATTATCTGCTAAATAAATTAATAAATATTATGTAACTTTATGTTGCCAATTTTGAATTGATGGAAAGTTATTGGTAGAGAGTTTAGAAAGCAATATATATTTGTGAGATTCTTACAATTAATTTTTATTAAATATTAATAGTATTGTTTATGAAATTAAATGTGTTTGACTGAATCTCAATTTAAAAAATATATGTTTCATAATCAGGGGCAGTAGCGATAATTAAAATATAAAATTAGTTGGATCTGTCAAAATGAAATGAAACAATATTTAAAATATATATTATTACTGATAAGAAATATAGGACGAAATAAAATATCAATGAATAAAAGTTATATTAATTGCATACTATAGGTATGTGTAAATATATATACATTATAAAAAATATACTATAAATAAGAATTTAAAGCATAAATATTAGTTAATTCGCTGGGCATGCCACATAACAACATAATTTAGAAATGAATTATCGAATTTTACTTCGTAAACCAAAATTTAATGAATTAATCAAAAAATTGATATAAATAAAATCAGCTTCAGATTAAATTGGTTCTTGCAAAGACTATTAATATTATCCCCTTTCACTGCCCCTTTCACTTACATACCAATTTGAAATCAATTAGTTATTTTCATACTAGACATATTTTTTATGGCAAAACAACGTTTGCCGGGTCAGCTAGTATATATAGGCACATATATACATATATATATATGAAGAGAGAGAGAGATAAAGGAATAATAAGAAGATGAACACCGCCGCATAAAACAATCAAATAATTTAAATTTATTATGTACATTGAACAAAAATGTTTTAAAGATAAAATAAATAAACTCACATTGATGAAATTTGGCCTTCCATCCCTTGTTGGTGGTGCGGGGCTATCGTCTGAGGTCTGATTAATTTGGTGAGTTATAATAGCATCAATTAATTTTGCAGCAGTCAATTGCTCTGGCGAGGATGATCTCTGAGCTGGCAGTGGTCCTCTAGAAAGACAAAACAGAATTAAGTTCCAAATAAATACATATCATAAAACTCTTTAATTCCTAAATTTATAAATTTACTATTGAAAATAGAGAATACTGACCTGTCAGCAGCAACTTGTCGCTCCTTACGATCATGTAACCTCGCATTTGGCGTATCTCTAGGTATACAGCCAACTAATAACCTGGTAGTTTCACGTTCTCTGCGCAATCGCTCCTCTCGATCTAAATCTCGACTTCGCTCGTTCTCCATAATCTTCTCAATGTTTCCACGCTCAATTTCCTTCTCGTTATGAATCTGCTGCTGCCTCAATCTTTCACTTTCAAGTTGCTGCTGTCGTTCCAAATTACTTCTGTGGATATAGTACTGCTCGCGCTCATGCTGCTGTTGCTGCTGCGGGCTACGATAATTGTGCTGTTGTGAAATAGATGTTTGTTGCTGCTGTTGTTGGTGTTGTTGGCGACGATGCATATCCAACTCTACTAATCGTACAGTGTGCTGAGAAAAAATAATCTTGTTAATTATTTTTGCTACTCATTTTTTATAATGAAACAAAATTTATCCAATAGGCAATATTTAGAATTTTTTCAAATAATGTTAAAGATTTACAAAACCAAACACTAGGTAGATAAAGTATTAAGTCAAAAATCTTTAATGCCATTCATCAGTATATAGATAAAATTTGATGGACAATAAAATGTTTATTTGTTATTGTATAATATGTGTATTTTAAATACACCTGTTGGCGTTGCAATTGCTGCTGCTGCTGAAACTGTTGCATATGAAGATGCTGCAAATCTCGATCCCTAGCAATTCTATCCTGCTGATATCTTTAAAAAAAGGAGAGGAATTAATAATAATCAACAAGGAGTAGTATTTTCACCTTAACTTAATAATATTATTTGTATAATATTTAAGGTTCATTATTATCGTAATATCATTAGTTTCAAAAGAAATAATTGTTTATTAATGAAAATCAATGCATCAATATCAATATCAATATACCTAATGTCATGATGACTTGAAGTAGGTGGTGTTAGAATTTCAGATCTTTTTTCATCTTTGTGTGGAACTGGTAATGAAGGTTGTTGAACAGCTACATCAACCAAGGATGAAAATGCTTCATGACCTAAGCATTTCACAGTATATTAATTAATGGGAATTATTGGTTTTATTTAGTACAACTAATTAACATAGATGAAGTGATACCTGGTGGCGGATACTGATGCATCGGTGTGGTCATGTGGTGTAATTTATTAGGAGCTGCAGGGCTGGTAGGTTTGCTGCTATTGTGAGGTTGGCCAGTGTGAGCGTTATGCCGCTGTATCACGCCCTGCCGTTGAGGTGGAGGCGGAGGAGTGTGGTGCGGACTCGGAGCACTATCATAAACAATATAATTAGCCATTCGAGATCATACTGTTATGCGATTCAGACAATATTATACTATGTTATCATAAAAACTTATCATTACCTATTGACTATTTCCGCAGGCGAGGCCCGACTGAGATATTCTTGCCTTGTATTACGATCTTTATCGCCGTAATACATTGAGGCCGGCGAGCTCATTATGGGACCGCGGCTCACGGGCTCTTTTTCTATTGTCCTTCGGCCTTGTCCATGCATTTGTTGCGAAGTAATATAATCCGTTATAATTATTTGTCGTGAACTCAATTGTTGTTCTATATTATACGTAGGCGGTCTAGTGAATGATGAGGTAAAACCTGATGGTACATTATTATTACTTTGAATGGCATAAGGAGGAAAATTACTTGGACTTTGACTTGAGATTTGTAAATTGCCTGGTATTGATAATTGTGCTGGACTTTGCCTTTTATTGTAATAATCGTACATACGCTTCTCTTGCAAATGATGTGGAGGAAGATGCACAGGAGTCCCTTGCGTGATGGAACCAACGCTCTTGGTACTATCAATTTGAGTCTGACGTTGCAAGTTATCATAACGCGGACTCGCCGGAGTATTCACAACGACGGATCCTTGCATTGGATTCATCGGCGTACCATGTGTTATGGAGCCTGGTTTCGTTTGACTATGCGGTACTTTCGTACAAGGCTTCATTGCATTATGCTTGATGGAAATTTTTGAACCAGATTGAGATGTCGATATACTCGGGCGCTGTACCACCAACCCATGCGGCTGTGGTGCCGCCGATACAAAAACTGAGGGTGATTTAGATATTCTACCGGATTCATGGTGATAACCAGCGTATGCCGATTCCCCACTGGGCCTATAGGTTATGCTCGCAGAACTTATCGAAAGTCCAGTCGAACTGTTATGTATGCTAGTTTTGCTATGAGCAGGCGGTGGCAGACTCTGATGTAAAAAATTCGAATTGTCACGACTTTTTTTAATGCTCAAATCTAATGTTTCTGGTTCAGGTTCACTTCTTAAAACAACAAGCACTTCCTTTGATAGTTCTGTTTTAGGCACGCTCGCAGATGCGGACTGAACTGGAGTAATGGTAGCAGCAATTTGGGGTGAAGACAAAATTTGCTGAGCTGGAAGCCTATGCAGAGTGCGCCCATGTGAGTTAACTACAGAAAGTGTTGCTAGCGAGTTTTGTGGTATATTATTATTGCAACTGACGGGTATATTAACGGTGGATTCTCCCATTCGATAATCTCGAATGCACGGATTATCGGTATTTGCTTTTGTTATGAGAGCGGCGCTGCCAGTTTTTTGAGTAGCCGATCCATTGTTTTTCACCATTTGCTCTATAACGTTTAACATAACGTCCCCCATCGAGTCCAGTCGCGATGGCTGATTTATAACAGGAGGGCCGTTCTGGTTTGTCACTACAGTTATTGTTGCTTGTTGTGCTGTCGGTTGACCAGTTTGATATGCCGGCTGAAGTAATGCCTTGGGACTATTTCTTGTAGTGGGCGATTCATTCTCTTCATCGGCTGTTTCCGTTGCCGAACTATCATATTCGTCCTTACTTGTGATTTTAGCAACAGGAACCGTCGGTGTCGGCATTCCAGAAGCAGTGGGAATCGAGGATATTAAAGACTTATCATCACTTTGACTTCTAGGCCTTGAAATCAATTCTTCGCCATCTCTAAGACCTATCAAAGACGTATTACAATGAGGACTGGCCGCTGATGCTGTGTCACTAGCTGCATTATCTTTTTCATCACAAGAAGATGTCGTGCTACCGCTTTCTTCTTCATCTGTGAGCACAGGTTTTATATCTACGCCATTTTTTCTATTGTACTCTGTTATTAGCTCCTCCAGACCATGTTTTTTTCGATAGTTGAAATAAAAATTCTTAATTTGATAGATTGTTTTCGATAACGCTTCTGCGATGGTTTGCCATTGACAGCCATGTTCGCTTAGTAATCTTTTGAAACAAGCTATTTCTTCGTCAGTCAGTCGTTGAGATGGATCTGAAATATCCTCTTGTAAATGCAGACCAAGAACACGCCTTGTTATCCGATTGTAGCACGCAGAACAGCATTTCGTATTCGCCGATGGAATTTCTATTGGAAATAAGGTATAATAGAAAGTTTATAAACCTTAATAATAATATTTAATTATATTATTATATTAGTATCATCTTTAACATACTAAATTCTTTCATTATCGGTTCTCGCAAGTCTTGCGTCAGCTCCATCCATCGCTTCGGAAGGCTTCGTAAACGCTTGACGCGGTCCTTGCTGTTCGGACAAGTCGGCAAGGGGCACACAGTGGACCGCGATCTGACGTATTTACACCGGCAAGTATTGCACACACGCGCACCTGAAAATAATACGATAAAAACATATTGTATCTATAGGAAAAACATTCGAAATAGAATCATATCTAATTATTCTTACAAGACCAAGGGCGTAATAGACAGATTATCGGCAGGCAGAGGCAAACGGAAATGTTTTGAATTACTAGTCTAGTACAATATTTAATCAACAATAAACATAAAAAGCACAACTACTATTTTAAAATCAAATTATTTTCATAATTTGATAGCTATTTTTACATACAACAAACAAATTTTTGTAATTTAGATTTATTAAATTATGGCACATATTATGTGTCGAAACATATAAATAAAAAAGTAAAATTTATTTTACAATTTTCCTCAATTATAAATTAATACATATCAAAATCAAAATCAAACTAAACTAAATCGTACCCTGGGGCACCATATCTTCGGTGAGACCATACTGTTGCGCATGAGACTTGGCCAGTGTGCGCGCCTGATTTGAATCCATTTTGCAGATGAAACAAGTCTCTACATTACCTGTTCCCGCTGTAATTAGAAATTATTTCACAGTTAGTTTTATCATACTTAAACCGGATATAAGTAAATTAAAAGAAATTGGATGGTCGAATTTTCGTATAAAAATAACTGATCATTGAATAAATTAAAGGCTTATACAGTCGGTCAAGTAAGAGCGTGGCCGACTTTAACGACAGTTAATGAAAAATTTCGGTCGAATTCTTTCGTGAGCCGATAAAGTGAAGCTTTGTCCTTGATGCATCGTCAACAAAGGTTTAGTTGCCGATGATCTTATGAGAAAAAATCACGTTAAACGCCATGAGTGCTAAGTTACGCGTCGCGCTACGAGGCTGCGCCCTTTTGCATCCACCCAAAAGGTCTCCAATTGTCGCAATCAGCTGCTGCTAAACATATGAGAAAGTTGAAGGCATTTGTACAGAATAAGATACACCTATATAAAGTTGCTAAAAAATGTCGCTGATTCATCAGAACGTGGTTCAAATAAAAAAGAAGAAAAAAGAACAGTGAATGTGTTTTTGCGGAATCCTGCTTTAATACTGCAGCAAAGACGAGCAAAAGTAATGGCAAAATGTTTAGAAATATCTACAAAAATATCTACAAAACTATCTGAACCTTTCTTCGTATTCATAATCTGAAATGGCGCAACACAATGCGGAAACCCCTGGCGACTGAAAAACATGTGCTTCTTTTTCCGCTTGGGCATATGAAAATATTGATACAGATTTTAAAAACGTCATTTTTATTGATAAATGTTCTATATGAGTACGTACTGCCTACATCAAGCTATTAAATTAAAAGACGAGCCCTCAGAGTAAAATAATCCGTTAAATTAGTAAAAAGCAGGCGTCGGAGATGCCAGCCAATTGTCGACTCCGGTGGTGACTGGACACATATTGACCAAATTACATCATTGTTTGTAACGTATACAATGCATATATAAATATTAAAATTTCATAAAATAATTATTTTTATGAATTAACACGGCCACGCTCCTACTTGACCGACTGTAAATTAAAGAATCTTTTTATATCAAATTGTTAGTGCAAAAAAAAACAACTTTTTAATCCAATGATAGCCGAAATTCAATAGCAGAAAAAAACAAATCACATAAATAAAAGCACGTAAAAGATCTAACAGTTCATCCAATCAGATGATGGATATTCGCATCCATATTGAAATCAGCGTTGTCGTAATATAATGTGTATGGCTGTTGGCCTGCGTGACAAATCAATCCCGTAGAACGGTATCACAATTAAATATTAACAGATTTTAGTTACTCTGCCAAATGAAAACCGATCATAACAAAGCTTACTGTAATGCAATACGTACATTGTCACGGAAATCTACTGGCAATATTAATTAACAGACATGCAAAGCACCACTACATAAAATGTTTCAAGAGCAAAACTGCAGCCAGTCACTCAAAATATAATATTTTTGAACAGTTGCATACGATAATTCGATTAAAATGGAAGGCTCTAAACATACTCGGGCAAAGGCTTTTTTTTATAAAAAAAAGACATTCAGTTTTTTTATTCATATAATATGAAACAGAAATAAGTTAGTATTTATTCTCACAACATTATGTTAATTTTTTATCTTGTATTATAGTATCATATAGATGCCGTTTTAATGGATACACCAGGCATCGGCAACCTACGGCACGCGTGCCAGGCTGGGGTTCTGAATGGCACTCTATAAAGTAATCAGGAAAATCGCAAATATCGAGTGAAAATAAGAGAAAATGTTTAATTATAATTATTTTTCTAACGTAGCTCGCTAATGTAATTCAACCTACGTTGAAGTACATAAAGATGAATTTTCCAGAAGATGCAAAGACTTTGAAGCTTATGTGCCTATATTTTCCTTTCTCATAAAACCAGATTCAATAGATCCATAATAATACCGTTTGATTTGTTAATTTTCGAATGGATTAATGTTGATAATTTTGAAATGGAAATTATCAGAATTATGGAAAACAAAATTGAAGAAATTACAAAAAAATCTGGAAGATGACTCTATGGAAAAATCGACAGCCATATTAAATTGTTGAATGACATTGCCGGAAAAGATTTTATTGTTTAAAGAAAATTGTATGCGCTCTCCTTTCAGCTTTTGGTTCCACATATCTCCGTGAACAAATTTTTTCTCACATGAAACATATTTTGAGTTCACAAAGAAATCGTTTAACAACTAAACATTCAGAATCTTGTGTGAAATTAAAAGTTACAAATTATACCCCGGATATTGAATTAAATTAAACTATAATTTTATTTTAAATTACTTAAATACAACTTTTAACTTTGCGTAAAGTACTCGTAAGTTATAGTAATCGCAAAAGATCAAAAATGAAAATTTTTGCATATTTTTACCTTTCAGACATTTCTGAACATTTTGGCATACCTTAAAAAAATTTATGTGTGTGCATGTATGTATGTTTCATTCTCATAGATAAGGAAGTTCTGATTAGTTTTTGGATAAGACAGGTTTAGCCGTTTGGAAAATACAGAACAAAAGTGCAAAAATTGCAATTCAGTTTTTGAAAGAACGGAGGGGCTGGTTTCCGAATAATTCAAAAAAAATTTACTTGCACTAAAGGAATGAATAATTACCTAAATTTTTGGGAAGGCATGTTTAACTTGTAATTAGTGAAAGAGAGAAAAAATTCGTCAAAGTTTTAGCCCACAATTTTAAGTCGATTTTAAAAATTCAAAAACTTGTAATTAGTGAAAGAGAGAAAAAATTCGTCAAAGTTTTAGCCCACAATTTTAAGTCGATTTTAAAAATTCAAAAACCACTCGAAAAATCTTGGTTGAAAATCGTATTCATTAGTTTGGGGGACGATCGGCCGAGCCGGTTGTTTGAAATTAGCATAAAAAAGCAAAAATATTACGTTTTTGGAATAAAGCCAGAAACCGATTTTTAAAATTAAAAAAAAGATTTCTGAAAAATATCAATTAGGAGTCAAAATATTTGACAATTTTAAAAATTCATCAGAGTTTGATAAAACTTTGTAGTCAAAATTTGTGTTAAAAGGCGCTTTTGAGATGTGATAAATCAAAATTGAATTTTCAAAAACACCTGAACTGATTTCACAAATTAAAAAGACATTGGACTAAACTTGATGAATAGAACCGAGATATTCAAAAATTTCGAGTTTATTTTTAAATTCTAAAATAATTCGATTATTTGAAAATTTTAGATATTTTAATTTTCTCAAATTTTGAAACCAACCCATTTTTTGAATCATTCATGGCGATTGATCCTTGCAAAAAACATTTAAACTATCTAAGAAGTAAACTTTGAAAATTAAAAACTTTGGTACGGAATGATTCAAAATAATGAAGACAAAATTTGTAATAATTAATATTTTTTTTATAAAAAATCTAATAATTTGATGTCAATGATCATTTTTTGTCACCAAATGACACCTTTTTGGATCACCAAAAACGCTGACCATACTCTCGCAAAATTTTCGATAGTTCTTATTTCGTCATACAAGTAAAAAGTGTCTTGAATTATTCAAATCGGGCGCTCCATTTTTGAAAAATTTAATTGGCATTTTTTTAACTCTTTGCCTCCTATTCCGAAATGGATGGAACTGTCTTTGCAAAAAATTAATCAGCACGTCTTCCCGAATGCCAATTGGCAAAAAATTGAAACCGCATAAACACATGCATACATCCATTTTTTCTAAGGCATGTCAAAATGTTCAGGAGAACTTGAAGCGTAGAGATATATAAACAATTTTATTTACGATTTTTAGGATTATTAAAACTTAGCTTTCCTGAAGTTGAAAAAAAAAAACAATTGGAGGTAGCATACCAAATTGTCAGATATTTTAGTTTAAGATTCAATTTTATCTTACAGGCATATTTAAAAAAATATATTTTTACATACAAAAAAATGACATAAATTAATTAACAGCAATGAATATATTATGTTAATTTGCCATTGTTTGATTTAATACCGAATATAAAACTAGAAACAATCGAACAGTTTTTAAAGCGTTTTAATTATAAGATTCACCTAAACAAAATTACAAAAAACGAACAGTTTTTCAATATTTCTTCAAAAAATCTTATCAGTTTGATAATTATTATATTAAATATGATACATCAAGAAAATATCAATGCGGCACCCACGAATAATAAATTTGATTAGAAAACGCATTACGTTCTATTTCATCGAAAATGATCTCTAAATTTACAAAAAAAAATTCAGGTTCTATCCTTAAAATGAATTGTCGTGTCATTTCATCGAGTTTAAAATTTTAATTTTGAAAAATAAATTATGCCTAAATTATACCGCCCCTAGACCCGGCCTCACGGCCCTATGGAGTAATTCGGCCACTGTTTTATATTAGAAATTCATGTTATTTGTTAATAAATATCTTAAAAGATAAATTTGGTTATAATTCTTTTACCCTAGAACCTAACTATATATTTCAAAATTAAGGCGGCACTTAAATCATATTGGTAGAAGTGGCTTGGCACACTACAGTTAAAGCTTGCCGACCCCTGGGATACACTATCCTTTATGTATATTGATGTTTAATAAATATCTAATAATCTGAATAAATGTAATAATAAATCTACATAAACTGTAGTTCATATTAGTTTAATTAATATTTTGAATAAGTGTATATATATACATATTATTAATTTAGAAATATGAACAGACAACACTTTTTTGCACTAATTTATTAAATAATAATTTCACAAACGTTTCGATACTAGGTTTGTCTCATCATCAGTGTGTTATAAATTTAAAATTTAAAATATGGAAACCTATATAAGCCTTATGTGTTATCCGTTACACGTCATTCACAGTAGTGAATTCATTTGTTCATATTTCAAATTATATTTTAATATTATAAATTATATATATATATATATATATATATAAAGTTAACAAAGTTTATAGGCAAATGAAATATTTTAAACATGATGATGATTTTCCTGCTCTCGCCGTGTTCCTATGTTATAGTCTATAGTGGTTATATTGCT